TTCCTTATTTAATAATTGTTTCATAAGAGAAACGAAGAATGAATCTTTTTCCAGAAAATGTTCATGCGCGGTGTGCTGATTTATTACTATACTGTGGTTTTGTGTGCATTAATTGATTGTATTGCTTATTGCGCGCTGAATACCAAGGATTTGTTCCTTTGATTTGAACTCTTCCTTTGTATATTATTCATATATCAGATCGTCGAAGGAGGCGATTTTTATCGATTGGAGGTCAAATGATTTCTTCATGATAAATGATCTGTCTTTTATTGGAGTCAGACGATTTTTATACACTACTGAATAATACTAAAATTGGAGAGTATATACCCTCGTTTCTCTTTTTACTGGCTCGGAAGTTTTTAGGCCCGAAAGTTTTATTTAAATATTTTCAGAAACTTCGTTTGAAAGAATGCTACATGGACACATTGTACCGTACGCTTGAGATGTGGACATAAATCTATCTTTCGGATAGGGGTGTGCGGGTACCCGAAATTACGGATACCCGATTGTTCGGATCGGGCTTACACAAAGTCGGGCAGGCACGAGCGGGTAGCCCGAAGATTTCGGGTAGTTCGACGATTTCGGATCGAGTTGGAAAAAGTTCAAGGAGAATAGGATTAGAGTTGGGCATTATTCGAATAAAATTCTATTCGAACACCGTTTCGAATAAAATTTTATAACATTTCGAATAAATTCTTCGAATAAAATTCTATTCAAAATATTTACTGAAATAATGTAAAGAAAAAGAGTCGGGAGTGGGGATGTGCGGGTACCCGAAATTACGGATACCCAACTGTTCGGGTCGGGCTTACACAAAGTCGGGCGAGTAGCCCAATGATTTCGGGTAGCCCTACTATTTCGGGTAGTTCGTCTATTTCGGATCGAGTTGAAAAAAGTTCAAATGGGATATGATAGGGATTATATTGCGTTATCGAAATCAATTATTCATAATATTTAATTTACATATATTTTTTTTCTTCAAATGTAATAATATTTACTCTAAATGATAATGTAAAAAAAAATAATTGCTCAACATTTTATGATATTAATTTCGCTCGAGTTGGTATTATTTTCGAATAAGGAAAATAGTCTTTCACTAGTTTGAGTGGCAGGTAGAGCAAGAAATTTTTTTGCAACTAAAGACAATAGTGGGAATCTGGCTGTATTGCATTTCGACCAACTAATGTCTATATTTCTAGCACTAAAACCATCGGCGAAATACATACAATGACTCTTATTAATATTCGGACATCATGTTATTCAAAATATTGTTGTGGATTTCGATTGTTTATAATAGTAAGGTTGGATTAATTTTTTTAATAATATATTAGAACATTCATTATAGTTTATAGTAACAAATTTTATTTATTTATTGCACATACTTTTCTTAATATCAAACAATAAACTGAATTATGTCGAAATATAGTGTGGCATAAATATTCGGACATTTGAAGAACTATAATATTTAAACCTGAAAATTGTTAACATAAACAATAATTAATATTTTGTTGGGTAGCTCTTAACTTCAATTATATATCGCAGACGTCTAGGCATATTTCCAGTAATTTTCTTTAAGTAATTGAGCGGAATATTCTTTCGTTCTTCGATTAATCGTTGTTTTAACTTGTCTTTTGATTTATTGGCGTATGACAATTAGTTATTTTTCACCGAGAAAAAGGAAAAACGTATCAAGAAATCGGTCATCTTTTAAAATTAAGTAAAAGAGTATCTGATATTGTACGGAGATACACTGATGAAGACCGAATTGAATCTATTTCTCAGAAAGATCGGCCAAGAAAACTTAACGACCGAGACAAACGCATTATTCTAAGAAAAATAAAAGTGAATCCTAGTTTAAGTGCTCCTAAGTTAATTTCAAAAGTATATTTATTAATGCGAAATACGAAATAAAATTGGATAATATTGGGAGACAGTTGAATATGTCCCCCTTGAACTTTTTCCAACTCAATCCGAAATCATCGGGCTACTCACCCGAGCCTACCCCACTTTGTGTGAGCCCGACCCGAACCCGAAATTTCGGGTACCCGCACACCCCTAGTCAGGAGTACTTTTTTTTCAATTTTATTTAATAAATTTGCTTTGCTTTTAATATTTAATAAAGCGAATCTACTTCAACCGACCAATATTTACAATCAAATGATAACGTAGAAATTCTTGTACTACAACATTTTATAAATAATAGAAATGATTACATATTTCTGAACGCATATACTATAATTAAAAATATATTTTTGAAATATAATACTCCTTCGCCATCTTCTGCTCCGGTAGAACGTTTATTTTCATTTGCAACGACAACAAACTCGCCTAAAGCAAACAGATTAACTAACAAAATGTTCGAACGAAAAATTGCGCTAAAGGCAAATTTATTAAATAAACCAAAATTGTGAAGAAAAGATTCCTAACTCTTTTTCTTTACATTATTTTAGTAAATATTTCAAATAAAATGTTATTTATTTGAAATATTATACGAATAAAATTTTACTCGAAGAATTTATTCGAAATGTTATTCGAATAATGCCCAATTCGAATAATTGTGTGTTCGAATAAGCTTTGTTCGAATAAAATTGTTATTCGTAAATATCGAATAATTTATTCGAAATTTTATTCGAAATGTTATTCGAATAATGCCCACCTCTGATCCTATCCCCCTTGAACTTTTTCCCAACTCGATCCGAAATCGTTGGGCTATCCGAAATCATTGGATCGAGCTACTCGCTCGAGCCCGCCCGATTTTGTGTAAGCCCGACTCGAACCCGAAATTTCGGATACCCGCACACTCCTACTTTCGGATAATCCGATTCTCCAGTTCCAGTGAGCTACCAAGGCCTTAGATTTTCTCTTCAAAAATAACGTGAGTGCCATAAATCGAAGCATCATCCGAAGTTCTCGAAAAAAATGTACAATAATCCCTTTATCATCCAAAAGTTGTCGTAACTTACAGTACAGTGCTTACAGTAACTTACAGTACAGTGTTTTTAAAGTTAATCATGTTGCTTCAAAATTAGTATATCTCTTTTTCAATATTTCATCTAATGCTTATCTATTTAAAACATGATGTACTGTTCAATGAATTGAAAACTTTCTTTAAAAATAATATAGAAAGCGATAAGATTTATAATCTATTGAAACTCATTCAAGAATAAAAAATCAAATGTGGTGCATATTAAATGTCGTTTTATGTAATCAAATTTTAATTACATATACGTAATTTCTTTAAAATTCTTTAAAATATTATCAAATTTAATCAAAGTAATTTACATATTATAAATCGTAATTTTTTAACGACTATTTCTGTTTTAATATTTTAAATTTCTAAGAATTATTAATTTTAAAATTCGAAATATCTTATCGTTAGAAAAAAAAAGGAATTATTATAATTTCTTTATTTGGAATTTAGGTTTTTGTTCGTTATTTCAAATTAATTTAAAATAATTCATGAATGAAAAAATTGCTTGAGTGAAATAAAAGATGTCTCTAATGTTTCCTAAATGCTAAATTTATATTTTTATAAACCTTTAAGGCTCTAAATTTACATTCATATAACAAAAACGACACAAATATTTTGATTATAAGATAATGTCATAATGATATACTTTCATATTTTCATTATGAATTTTCTCAATATAATTGTAATTAACGACAGAAAAGATTTAATGAATGATATTGGCGTGTGCATTATTGTCGTTTAAAAAACATTTCGTATGCACTAGTCTAATATTAAGATTAGTATAAAGAATTTTTAGGTATTATATATTTTTTCGAACACTTCGGTTTGAAATGTGAACATGATCGTAAAACTGCATTTTCCAGGCATGATCGTAAACACTCACATAATCTGACCCAAACGTCCGTGATTCGAATCTCGATTTATTCTATCAAAAATCGCATAATTTTTCAAGAGATTATTTTGGAAAGAAATTTCTCTGTGTATGAAAGCCATTTAAAATCAGAAACGAGAAATCAGAATATTTTAGAATTTTGTATGACCTAGAATGTTTTAGATCTTTGTACATGTTAAAACTTCGGACTCTGGATCATCTTTGTATACCTCAGAACATCTTGGAATCCTTACAAACTTTACACTTCGAATCTTGCGAACTTTTATTTTGAACTTTAAACTTTATTTTATTATATACTAGCATGCAACATTAAAGTTAAATAACAATTAAACTACAGATTGTTATTCAAACTCATATTTTTGAGAATATAACTGGAAAAAGTAAAAACTCGGTGGAAAATTGCTTTGCATACTAAATGTTATAGATAAATGTTAGATATTTTATATATATATTTTAGAATTTCTTATAACTGCAAAAATATCTCGTAATAAAAGCATAATAATTTGAAGATTTCAGTCATATAAAAATAGTATAGATCGGACGTACGTGTGTATCTACACGGTAAATTTAATGAACAATTCAATAAAAAAAAAATGATGCACATAATATTAAAATACTAATTAAAAAAAATAGAAATTACTTTACTCGACTATGTGGTGTAAAGATGATTGTATAACAACTGATGATGCACCTATGATTTTTTTTTTTTTAACAAAGATCATGTCTTATCTTATGTGTATCTTGTATATATTTATAAATTTATTCTATTATGGAAAGTGGAAATGGAAAAATGTCATTAAGAATTCTGCAACATCAGCAATATTATCGACAGTCTTTCTAAAATCTGTTGGTCTGAAATGTGTGTCAGATTTTAATAAATATCCAAGTATGAATTGTTTAGTAATAGAATAAAAATATAATTATAATAATTTTTGTCAAACATGATTACTCGATTCTGTTATTTACGCACGAAAATTCGTGTAACATTTATTTTAATAATTACAAGATATAATATATATATTTATTTATTTATATATTTATTTATATGTATAATTATATATGTTTTATATATTACTAAATTATATAATATTATTTAACTAAATAATTTTAGATAGCATAATTGAATAATTTTTATTCGACAGAACCACATCTTCATGATGAACAATTGGTGAAAGTGGCAGAATCAAAAACGATTCAGAAAATCATCGAGAAGAATGTCAAGAAAATCAGAGAGGGTGGATGAACGCCCCATGGATCCGGGGCTCAAACTTGGTACTACTTGAATGCAAAAGAAAAAGGTTTGTTTTTATTTAAAATTAGAAATTAGAATATTCTTAATTAATTCGGTAGATCATTAGTTTTTATATTACAATACTTGAACATATTAACTGCACGATTTAATTTTACCATTAGATATTGTACATACAAAATGTCAGATTTTGCAAGTTTTAAAAAATCGTTCTAAAGAGCGGATTTTAACCTTCAAGACTAAGGTGCATTTGATTATGATAAAAAATTTTTAATGTTTTCAGAGACATTTGAATTTTCATAATTTTTGAGAACAAAGGTATTCTTTGCTATTTATTGCATAATGTAAAAATATCTTTGAAAAAAATTAACTCTTTTAATTAATTAAAAGAGTTGTCAAAATGGAGACTTCATAGATGAGGCCAACTGGATTATTATACGAATGCTTTTTATGGAGTCATATATTTATTGGTATACATACATACATGTACATTCAGCATATACAAAATAGCCCAATATCGGACTACAAGAAGATAATTCTACGTGAAAAAATGCATCGAAAATAAAGAATATTTTTTCATTTAAGTTTTCGAGATAATTAAGTTTAAAAATTTATTAAGTATAAGATACATGAATTGTGGACTGGACAGGAGTGTGATAAAATCGAGAAGAAATTGTTCTACCTGCGAAAATAAATGAAAAATGAAGAATAAAATCTGTTCGTTTAAGCTCTCGTTTCCAAGAGTTTGATTAGATAAGAATTGGCTTAGTAAACGTGTATTTGGTAAATTTTCAAATTGAATTTTGTCGAAAACGAAGCATTTTATAGAAATTTACTGTAGTACGTTCTATTCTTTTGATTTATTTTGACACATAGAATACTGATCATTATTTATTCCTGACTAATCTAGAATTAGCTAAATTTAAGCATTACTGATAAATTGCTGATTGCAATTAAATTTAAATATTGTTGATTGCTGTTAACTTAATTTTCTCGAAAATGAAAGCCTTGAATAAAAATATTTTATTTTTGCTTTTCGACTTCTTTTTTCACTTCCTCCTTGGTTATACGTCCAATGCTTGGGCACCCTGTTTATGTATCTTTATTTTGCTGTGCTTACTTCTTGTAGTTTATTACAGATTTGATTTATTCGATAAACGTATGCCTTTTTAAATTGTCACAAAAATCATAATTTAATATTAAAAATTAAATCATATATTAATTTTTAATATTGCACGATAACTACAATAATAAATCATGAATGAATCAGTAACTATAAATTTCGTATGAATTATTCTTTATTGCTATTAATATTAACTATACAAAAAATGCACATTTTTAAAATATTTAAACAATTTTTCAAATTTGAAAATATTTTTATTTAACCACAATAAGATATTCGTTGACTTAATTTCGTTCTACGTGATACGAATAATGTAATGAAAATGAAACTGTACAATGAAAAATTATCGATAATATAATTTCGTAAAAAAAGATCATATAATGATTCACTCGGTCTCATTTTAAAGCGTGAAGCTTCTACTATGATGGACATGAATGTTTCTTTTTTGACTTCATGTGGCGGGCAGAAAAATGAGGATATTTTAAATATTTTAAAAATTCAAATTCAAAACAATTTTCTATTATCAATTAGATTATTTTAAATACTAAAGACTTCTCCTGTACAATAAAAATTCAAGAAATTCTAACGTTTCATTATCCACTTTTATTATTCTAAGCTTAATAAAATGGTGAAAAATGATATTATTCCAACTTTAATAAAATGGTGGAAAAAATCGTACAGCGAGTTTGGTGATGGCTGTAAAGAGAAGATTTTAATCTTTAAGATCATGATGGATTTAATCATTTTTTAAAACTTTTTTATATGTATTTGAATTTTTACTATTTGCGAGAAAAAAGTATTTTCACTTTCCTATCCGTTATATGATGTAAAATCGTCTTCAAAAAAGTACAAATTTATGACTGTCAAAGTAGAGGCTTCATGTTTTTTAATAAGATCAAATGGATCATTATATCTTTTTTTATGAAGCTGCATCTGTTTAAATTATTGACAATTTTTCATTATCATTGATATGGTTATGCTTTTGTTGATTACATTGAATGGATAATTGATAAAACTAATTAAATACAGTTGAAAATACGCTTGCTAAAGAAGCTATTATATTTCAACATGATCATGATCCTGAGCACACAGGAAACAGTATGTAAAATTTATTATATCGATATGGTTTGTATAAAATCTGAATTTCAATTACAATGAGGATCTGTAACGATTTTTGAAACGAAAAATGAAGACACCTCTATAAATGTCTATTGATATCGATTCGAACACTTAAAAAGAATCAAAGAACAAGGAAATAAAATTCATCTTGATTATTAAAATAATAATAAATCATAAACGTGAAGACACATTAAAAACCATCCTACAAATTAAAAATCATAGAGTAAATATTAATAAGTTATTAAAATCGAAAAATTTAACTTGGATAAATATTATGCAAAAATGCATCAATCAATATTTTTTGTGAAAGTTTAATATTTTTTGAAAAAGCATTAGCAACATTAAAAACTTGTTTTTATTAGCTTTAATTATACAAAATTTTCTGTTATATCTATTTCTTATGTATTTTAATAGCAGGAGTAAAAAAAATTTATATATAAAATCTGTAAATCTTTGTGCTTCAGTTATCCTTTTCATTGTAGTTGTGTTGTTTTAAGAAAAAATTCATTTTAGTTTATGTATTCTGAGTTCCATATACACTATAGTTCATATAGTTACTAATTGTATAAATTGTATCTTATTAATTGTATAAAATATATCATTGAAAATACACTTTCTATTTTAGAATTCCAATTTATCAGCATGATTCTATATTCTTCCTCCTATTTCCTCTCTTCTATGTGCAATAAATATATTTAGTATTTTGTTAATAAAGTTAATTTCTTACGCTATCGAATGTAATAAATACAATAGCCTTAATTAAATAAAATCTTATATATTGAAAATTTTTATTTTCTTAATATAAATTTGACATATATCTTGAAGATAGATATATTCCTTTATTTAGAAAAGTTATTATTAAGTACATTAACATGTTAGTCTTATTCTTTTATTTGGTACGTAACGTGTATATTTCACCACTAAGATTAGACATGATTCTCTTCTCTTCTTTATCAATTGTTATTTTTTCTTTTTTTGTAACTATATTTAAACGACGAGAAAAAATAAATTAATGAATTTATTTTAAAGTACAAATGAGCAGTACGCGGGATGGGCAAATCTTGGCTTTGGGCCCTGTTTTCTGCGACGATGACAACGATGACAATGATGGCATACGTCACTGTAACGACGGCTACCTCAACTTCGGTACCGTCTCTCGCTACAACAACCAGCAGCGAAATTTTCGATACGAAAAGGGTAAAATAATATTTTTTATCTAATTAAAAGAACGTTAAGGCGATCAATATATAAGTCGTTCAAGAATTTATCAAATTAAAGAGATAAAAAGATGATGATGTTGCAAATATTACTACTTAAGTTTATCTTAGAATTTACTATTATTTATATCCTCTTATGATAAATAATTTCTTTTTGGAAAATTAAACAGCTCAATATATATATTATTAATATTGATTATCTGAGGATTTCTTACTTACGAGAATGTTGAGTATCTTGAAATATTAACAATGTAATACTAATCGTCTAAACACTCTTAAGCATAACTCTTTTGTTTAATCTCGACAAACTTCACCGTGTTTCATAATAGACTAGACCCTGTATTTGAATAAGAGCCTCATTTTGTTTCTTAACAATCAGACAGCAGTGTCTCTAACAATGAATCGGGAGACAGTGTCAGCACATGCTGAATCGGCGTATTTATATGTTATAAAATAATTTTGGAATTTTCAGAATTCATTTTCTTCAGAATAAATTATACACATTTGGAACATATATATTTACAGTTTGTTTAAAAATGTTTAGTATAAGTATCTAGTATAAATACAATTTATATAGTTGTTTACAATACTCAAAGAAATTTAAAAATATCAACGAATAAGTGAAAAGAAGCGAAAGAAAAGAGCAGATTTTCTTATAACTAAATTATAGCAGATCAAAATTGACCTGACATTGTCATATCCGACTGTTGAATATAGTGAATTCTCAAACTTTGAACAATTCGTTCTGGAAACTGGAATAATTCGCTCGATTTTCGAGTTAATCTTTTGAGACCTGTATATATTCCAAAATTGATCTTTGAAATTGTAAAACGGTATGAATATATGTACATCATCTAGCCTTTTAACGTATGCATGAACTTACATTTCAGTGATTCATTTTTTATTAAATCTTCCATTGCACTTACATTGATTTTGAAAGTGTATAAATAACACGAATATTACAAATTCATCTCTAAAGGGTTAAATTTTCACATAAAAAATAATGTAGATTGCACTAATTTATTTCAGAGCCCAATATAAAAAAAATTTAAGTGTCTATTTATGTAAAACATTTTAGGTATTTAAAAATTATTATATCGTAAAATAATGATAAGAAGAAGTATACTTAAATTAAAAAATTTCTACAATGACTTTAATGACAGCTTGGTCCTAATCCTAGTCTTAGTCTTTAATTATTAATTAATTGAATAACAAATAAACTTCGTTGCCTGATATCACGTTTTTGAATTTTTATTCGCCGAAATTTTTGAAGCCGAGTTTCCTCAAATTTGTTCGGTTGAATTTCATGTTATTCAAATATTAAATTGTTTGAAGATCGATAATCTACTATATTTTTCTAATATATAGGTACATATCTTTATTTATAGGTATATTTTAAATTATAGTATTTAATTGTATGTTCTTTATTTAAAGGTTATATTTTAATTATAATATTTTACAGCTTGCGTAAAATGTGACTAATATTAAATTCTACAATTCAATACTATATTAATTAAGTGACTCTCGAAATTTTTTCTCATTATTTCTTGGAGTTAATGAAGGTTATTTTGAAGGTTATAATAAAAGTTATTTTACGTACATACAAAAATGAAATCTAGAATGATACGAATAATTTTTTAAATATTTCTTTAAGGGTTTTTAAAATTATTTTTAAAATATAGGTTACACGTAATACTTCATTTTCTCATGAAAAATTGTGCACGAGACATGAATGTTAAAATAGAATATATAGGAGCAAAGATTTATTATAACATAACTTAATAATTAAAGCATTCTTTTATGCTTTATATACATATATTATAAAATTACTTAAAATTGAAAATATAAATAGAACGTTTACATTTGTACAGTCGAATTAATTTATCTTAATTCTTCTTTGGATTCTCTAATAATATAGAATCTAAAAAGAATTACTGTCACTGCAATAAATTGCAAATTGTCTTTATTTTTAATTTCTCTTTAATTTAATAGCAAACTTCTTCTCTAGAAACAATTTTCAGAAAACAGTATAATAATTGGTAAACTTATATATTAAAGTTTATTTATCTTAATTCTCGATTCTAATAAGGTAAAGTCTAAGTTCAGGAATAAATTGCAAATTATTCGAATTTAATATTCAGTAATATTCAGAGTAGTTCAATGAAGATTAACATCTTGAATATTTCTGTTGCATTTGAAGAAACGAAAAAACTTTGGGAATGAAAGTTGTTCAGCACAGATGTGACCATAATATGACAATAATGATTTCTTTAGATGATGGAGTTTCGAAAATTCCAAAATCACGTCAACCTCAAATTTTTCTTAGAATTATATACTTTTTAACGCATTATTTCAGATAGCTTCTCCGTAAGAAAAATTATTAATTTCTTAATTTCAATTTTGTAAAAATTAGATATCTTTAATTTTATAAAATCCATCATACAAGAAAGGAACGATATTTTTATGTTCGCATTTTACAAAATTAAAGTTAAATTATCTACTAAACTAATAATTTTCTGATATACTTTTTTTTATTTTCTAATGTTGAGCTATATCCATTAATATGTACATTAAAAATTATATGATTCCATTTCAAAAAGTAGAGGTAATGTTGAAATTTTGAAACTTCTCCATCTGCAGGAAAGGCATTACTATATTTTGGGTTCTTCTGAATAACTTACGTTTTTTCAAAAATAACAGAAATGTTCAAGTTGTATTTCTTATTAGATCATCTTGTATAATTTTCAATTTGGTAGCATATTCATGAAATTACTTTTATATGCCCGATAAGTTCTAATCTAATGAAACGATTTTACGTCAGTTTCGGCATTCATGCTGTTATTATAAGAATACTGATTTAATACTTCCTACAAAGAAAATAGGTTATAGAACATCGATTTTCCTACAATATGGGAATTTTTTATAACAGTTGCAGATTTTTATTATTGTAACGATCCAATATAGAATGACAATTAATTTCAAACGAAAAAAGTGTGATTGTTTCTTCGAATAGTTAAAAATTAGAATTTTAATATTGTATAGTACAATAATAAAATCAGAAATTTCTATCGTTTTCAGTTTTACGATTAAACTTAAAATTCTTGTTATGTCGTATTAATTCTTAACAATTTTATTAAAACTGAAAATTAAATTAAATTTCATTTTAAATCTCGGGATTAAACTTGAAGTTCTTGTGTCTGTTTCGATTAATTCTCGACAATTCCAAATTAAATTCAAAATTAAAAATTAAATTCCATCTTATTAAATCTCAGAATTAAACTTAAAATTCTTGTTCCATCATGTCTGTCTTAGTTAAGTTTTTAATCGCGACTTTATTAATGAATACTATCATAGATAGGCAATTATTTAAATGCGATTTCTTTTTGAAATAACTGCTGGTTGCTGAAATAATTGCTGAACGAATTGGAATTTACTTAAAATTTGATTTTAAGATATTGTTTGTCATACACGCTTGCGTTGCACATGTATATAATGTACGTAAAGTGAATTTTGGTTATAACAATGTATTTTCATGTAGTGTAGACATGTGTATTGTTTGATATTGTTTATAATCTAAATATCTAAGCTTGGACTTAATTGTTTATTAAGTATGTTTAACGGATATATTCGTCATATAAAAAGAAAAGCTACCTTTTGCTATATATAAAATTATTATTTGATCAATTTATGACATTCTGCTACCGCCATTCTTCCTTTGCATTCTTTATACGTCCTTTTATAAACAAATAAGAATATTTGCTTTTCTTAAGAACTTTGCACCATCTCAAGCACTTTGAAACTTCAGTTGTGAGTTCTGTTACATCATTCCTAATTTATTCTTCGACAATAGTTAGAAGTTTGGAATTCTCAAGTTATTGTCAAGAAGAAAGTAATGCCACATAGTACTCCAAGATTTCCATTCAAAAGTAGTTTTCGTTCGCGATTATGTCACAACTTTTGTCGACGAAAATCTTACGTATTCATTTTTATGTTCTGTGACGAGAGAATTGTTTTAAGTATTGCATATTTTAAAATATATTTATATTTTTAAAAATATATGTATGTCATTATCATATTAACATAACTTTTCATATGAATGTTTCTGAATCAAATCCAACTTTCTGCTCTCAAGATTATTCGAAGGCTATAGTATTTAGATTATTAAACTCATCTTTACATCAGCTACAATGGTATCTATATAGTTAGCTATAATAATCAAAAAATTACATAATGCCATTGAAAGAAATCAAGATGATCTTGAGTTTCTATAAAAAAAAATTTTTTCATTATTTTTACTGTTGCAATTTGTAACTAAAATTGATTAATTTTTGTCTGAAACAGAAAATTTTTTATTGTATTATCGGAAATACTCAAAAACTTCTTAATATTATAAAATATTATTTTCCAACAAAAAAAGTTATTATTTGCATTACATTACTATTTTTAATACCACAGGATGTACTGTTAAAATATCTTATAAAATCAATTAATTGTTAAAATATCTTATAAAAATATAAACGTTCTGTGTCTATTAATAGAATAGATTGCTAGTTAATATCAGACAATCAAGAAAGTTCTGTCATCTTTTCTATTACAAGAAAGAATCATGCAAAAAAACATTTTATTTCCTAAAATAATTATTCTTATTTTGATAAATATTTTTTCATAACGGAATCTACACAATATCTACCTATTATAATTTATCAGTGTTCTATTTTATAAAATAATGAAGAAACTATGACATTTTTATGATATAAAAAAAATATGAAGTAAAAAAATCATTCATCAATAATTTTTTTTTTGTATTCTGAATAATTTTTTATTATTCATAAAAAAAAACTACAGAACTTTCTTGATTATCTAGAAAAATTCAAATTATATTTATTTCTCAAAGTCCAAAGAGATATAAAATATATTGAGTCCAAAAAAATTTAAAATAAATTGCAAATCTAAGATAAATTCATAAATAAAATTATATCG